CCCTCATACCCCCCTTTTCTTCCACTTCTTACCCCGTCCTACTCCCCCTTCCTCCCCGTTCTCCTCCCTCTGCCGCTTTTCTCAGAGCCTCTGCGGGCGCTGCCTGGTCCCCTGTTCTCCCAGAGCTGCCTCTGCCCATTCAGAAAGGTGCCCAGAGTGGGGCTGCCTAGGCTGCCACCATCGCTATTGCCCCTGCCATTGTTTCCTCCAACACTGCTGTTCTTGCTGGACGCATCCCCCCCACCCTCCTTCCCCACTACAGCCCTCCCTTTCCCTCCCGCTCTCTCCTTACCCTCCCGCTCTCTCCTTATCCTCTTCACTGTCCCCTCCTCATGTGCCCCCTCCCACCCTGTCCGTCTGTCCCTCCCTCCCCTCAGGCACCCGGGAGCGCGCACTGCGCGGCCACCTGTCATAAAGGGCGCGCACCCCCCTTCCCCACCCCCACCCCGCCCCCCACTCCCATTCTCACAGCCCGCCCAGGCCACCGCGCCACTGGCGCCTTCTTCCCCCGGCAGACACGCAGCCGGACACCACTCTCCCATGACTTGTAGGGCAGCTGTGTGCGCGGAGAGGGGCGCTCTGAAGTTTGGGGAAGAATATTTGAATGGCCACGTCCACCAAGCATTTAACCATTCAACCTCTACCTACCCTTAAGTTCAGGGCCTGGGTGCTGAGAAAGGTGGGTCCTGTTGGAAGGGTTGGCTGAAGGCAGAGAATTGGAAAGAGGTGTTTTGTTGTGGTTGTGTGTGTGTTGCTGTTGTTTTGGAAAACAGGGGAGAGGGGAACCTGAATATGGGTAGGAAGAAAGGGGGGTCTGCATGAGTGCCATCACTGAAAAATCTTAGGTGCTCATCTCCCTTTGGTTGTCCTGGGAACCCAACAGGAAAGAGCCAAACATTGGCAGGTGGGAACATTTTAGCAGTCCTCAAACCCTGGGTCTAAGGTTGGGGCCCCAGGCCAGCAGTCATCACCACTAGGAACCAGGACAAGAAATGGGAAGGTTGGTGCTGGGACAGGAGAGGTAGAACTCCTGCACTTGCTCCAGGAAGTTGTTGCCAAAACACAGGATCTCCAGTCAGGGAGGGCTTGATTTCAGAGTTCTCTGCTACAACAACTACAGCCCCATTTCACTATCAAGGCTCAGGCTTTGAAATCCAGGTGTGCAACTGACTACCACCCTGAACAGAGCTTGTCACACACCTCTTCCCAGAAATAACACAAGTGGTGAAGGAGAGGTAGGGCACTTCTTGCCTTTCCCCGACAAAATACAGGAGACATGCCTTCCAGAGAGCTAATTTCCAACAAGATGCGGGTCCCCTTATCACATTTTTTAAAGTTTATTTATTTTTATGTATTTGAAAGGCAGAGAGAGGGAGGGAGGGAGGGAGAGAGAGAGAGAGAGAGAGAGAGAGACAGATCTTTCATCTGTTGGTTCACTCTCCAAATGCCTGCAATAATCAGGGCTGATCCAGGCCAAAGCCAGGAATCAGGAGCTCCATGCAAGTCTGCTATAAGGATGGCAAGGCCCAGCTACTTGAACCATCATCTAGCTGCCTTCTCAGGGTGCACATTAGCAAGAAGCTGGATCAGAAACAGAGCCAGGACTCAAACCCACAGGAACTTGGGATATGGGATGCAGGAGTCCCAAACATCCCAAGCGGTGGCTTTAGCCACTGCACCACAACACCCACTCCACTTTATCATGTTTGAGGCAGGCACTCTACCACTGGTCTTTTATCCCTGAGCCCTAAAGTGTCTGTAAAGGCACTGAAGATCCTTTTATAGCTCCTCATCTCTGTGCCTTTATTTCTGTCATTCCACCTGCTTAGAACACTCTTGTATTTCTCTCTCTCGTTTTATATCTATGCAACTCATTCATAAGTAATAGCTCACCCTTAATCAACACTTATTTAGTTCTTACTATGTGCCAGACACTGTGCTAAGCAATTTACATGCCATATTTTACTTAATCCTCACAACAAACAGAATGTTGTTATCCTCATTTTACAGGTGAAAAAAGTTTGAGCTACAAAGAAGTTAGGTATACGTATCTTGAGGACCATCTTATTTATCTTGCATCTATCAGGCACTATGAAAATACATTTGCATCTTTGAGACGCTATAATAAATAAGAAGCAAAATAAAATTTAGTGTCTGTCCTCAAAAGCAAAAACAAACAAGGTTAAACATGTAAAATACCACCCAATTTTTGGCTGGATCTCAAAAGCCAGCATGAATTCTCTTTTCCCATTGTCAGAAGCACATTGTCTTCTCCTGTACTAACCACATGTATCGTTCTTCCTTTTTTAAGCTAGTTGCTTACTATCAGTTATAATATGTGTCGTTGCTGTTCAGCCAGACTACTGGGAACACACGTAAATTAGAACTATTGTTATTTGTGATAGTGAGGGAGAACACAAACCAGAGGTGTTATGGGCTGAATTGTGCGCCATCAAAATTCAAATGCTGAAGCTCTAAACACCTGTAGGAGGCTACTTCAAGAAATTCATGGGAAAGTTGAATTAAAAGTTTATTTTGGTGCAGAAAATTGAAATTCATGTAGTTTTGTATAGTATACATTTCCAGAAAATTTTTGAAGTCCTGTTTTGTAATGTCCTTAGAACAGGGCTTTGCACTTGGCAGCCTTCATTGCACTTGGGCAGCCTTCATTGAATGTGAGCTCTTACCCATGTCTGTCTTCTCCAACAGACCATTATAGCATGGCTTGCACAATATTACAATAGTGATACTTTATCCTGTGTTAGACCCTAAGCTCCTTGAGAACAGGGACAATGTCTGTTGTCATGGTAATAATAGCTAACTTTTACTGAGTGTTTTCAATGTATCAAACGTTTATGTTACCTATAGTTACTTCAAGAAAGCTCCAGAGGCCCCATCCCTACCTGTAGACCCACCTGACTGTCTTCCACTATGCTACCATAGCACCAATATTTACCTTAATCACTACACTTAGCATATGATACTGACAACTGCTTGTGTGTTTCCTTCCCCTTCCAGACTATTTATGGAAAGAAGACAAAATACTTTCAACTTTGGTGCCCATCTGTGAGCACAGTACCCAGCACAACAAAGGCACTCAATATAAAGTCACAGATTGTATTTTTGCCACATTGTTTGCTTTGTCTAGAGTGGAACTCAGGTCAGGCTGGTCGTAGCCACCATCACCCCTTTCCCTGGATTATCTTTTTTTTATTAAAACAGTAATAGAAGATCTCTCACAAAGTGATCCTCCCTATAAGGCAGATCTAAAGGAAAGAATGGGGGCTGGTGTTGTGGTGTAGCTGGTAAAACTGCCATCTGTGGTGCTAGCATCCCATATGAGTGCTGGTTCGTGTCCTAGCTGCTCCACTCCTGATCTAGCTCCCTGCTAATGAGCCTGAGAAAGAAGTAGAAGATGGCCCAAGTCCTTGGACTCCTGCCAGAAGAAGCCCCTGGCTCTTAGCTTCTGATCGGCCCAGCTCGGCCATTGTGGCCACTTGGGGAGTGAACCAATGGATGGATGATGTTTCTCTCTCTCTCTGCCTCTCTCCCTCTCTCTCTCTCTAACTCTGCTTTCAAGTAAATAAATACATCTTTTAATAAAATAGAGGAAAGAGTGCAAAACATTAAGGCAAGATCTGGAAACAATTAGCCTCTGCTATTTAAAAGCCAATGGTAGCATGCCTGTTAGGGCAAAGTGCAGTAGTGAAGGAGTGTAAGACTAACCCCTAGAATCTTCGATTTTGACCTTAATTCTTTCACAAACAAACTATGCTGTTCAGCAAATCACCAAACCTCTCTGAACTTCAGTTTCTCCATAGGGGACATAGAGAGCATAATCACTTCATTCATGGGTTAACGGACTTTGATAACAAAGATTAAAGAGTTTATTGGGGCCAGCACTGCGGCTCAATAGGTTAATCCTCTGCCTGTGGCGCTGACACCCCGGGTTCTAGTCCCGGTCGGGGTGCCAGATTCTGTCCCGGTTGCCCCTCTTCCAGGCCAGCTCTCTGCTGTGGCCCGGGAAGGCAGTGGAGAATGGCCCAGGTTCTTGGGCCCTGCACCTCATGGGAGACCAGGAGAAGCACCTGGCTCCTGGCTTCGGATCAGCGTGGTGCGCTGGCCACAGCGCGCCGGCCGCGTTGGCCATTGGAGGGTAAACCAACGGCAAAGGAAGACCTTTCTCTCTCTCTCTCTCTCACTGTCCACTCTGCCTGTCAAAAAAAAGAGTTTATTGGACTTTCACTTTGGGAAAAACATTGAACTCATCTGTTACTTTCATATTACATGCCTAGATGGTTATCAGTCTCTGGACTTGGTATTCTAAAATAGTCACAGACTTTCATACTCCAACCCAAATTCCAGGATATTGTGGTTTTTAGTCTGTCAAATCAGCTCCCTAATAGCCCGCAATTCACCCTATTTCCAGTGAAGGGTCTAAGATGTCTGGAAATTTCTGGGGCATAAGAGGTACCACCATCATGGAGATAGACCCAAAAGGTTTCTTTCTAGAATGCAGAAGCCAGACACAGGAGATTTTTCAGCCCAAATTTATGTTCTGTTATAGCCCAAAGGGATAAAGAAAATGAATGACAGAAATAACATTATTATGGTATCATGTGCATATATAAAAAAGAAAACTACTATATTATTTTTCATATAATATACCACTATTGTGCCTAGAGACTATATAATAATCATAATAATGGCCTCTGGCTGGGACTTTATGGCACCTTTCCATGGTGAATGTCAAAGAATGGTCCAAAGGAACTCAAGGCGGTTCAGACTCCAGAGGTCAATGAATTGAAATCAGCATCAGCTCTTCCTCTCATTTGAGGGGCAGCACCCAGCATTGAGGGCTTTAATTGAATACAGTAGAACTGATAAGCTGCC